GGCTCCCCTTCTAATGGAGGAGTAATTTGAAGTGTGGGTGCAACATACTTTCGGCAGTGTGCATGCTGAGATAACTGAGAACCACAGAGCAATGCCTTGTACAAACAGGGCTGTGACTTGTGTGTTGCAATAAATCACAGAATACTATATTCACAGTAAAGAGAATGGTGAGGGAATAAACTATTGAAATTTTCAGAATTCAAATTGAGTTTAAATCATGATCAGTCTGAACACTTATCAAAAGCAAATGACACTCCAACAATGAAAGATGCCGATACCAATGCAACACTGCAAGTTTTTTAAAAAGTACAAAGATCCCAGTTGTCTGAATAGGGGACCGCTGAAGAACCCAACTCTGCGCATTTAGTAAAACATCTAGCTATAAAAAAGAATGAAGTAAATTTCAATGTTCGACATTTACAATGAAGCCAACGGACTGCTGTTGAAAAAAAAAGATGACTTTGAAAACATTATGTTAAGTGAAAGAAGCCAGAAAATAAAAAGCCACATTCCATGTTCCTATTTATATATAGTGTCCAGAATGACCGAATCCAGAGACAGAAGACAATCAGTGGTTGCCTGGGAGAATTGAGAGGTATAGGGTTTCTTTCTGGGGTGATGCGAACATTCCGAAATTAGATAGTGATGACGGTTGTACAATCCAGACTTCAATAACTTGAATGGTAGTAGACTTAAAAATCAGTTACTTCTTCTTTGGGGGTATAAAGTAGTAATAGCCTACACTGTAGAGAATGGTGAATACACTAAAATCACTGAATTGTTGAAGTGGCGAATTTTATATGAATTTTAATACAATTTTTTTCAAAAGAGGCATATGCATGTGTGTGCCCATCTTTGTAATCAAGCCACCGAGGGCTGGAGGGGGTGGCAGAGGATGCCTGTGGCACGGTAAATAAAATGCACAGCAATCCATCTGCAGGGAGTTACGTGGGGAATGAAATGGGGGTGGGGGGCCATTTCCGTTTCTTGGTATTGCATTTTGTCTCTAGGCAAAAGTACTATATTGTTTTTTCCTCTATTAAAACCTATCCTAAAACCCTTCTCTTCTTTTGAACTCTAAAAACACAGATGTTCTATCAGTTTGCTCAACTTCCCATCCTTCCACAATGCTTGAAAAATTTTTTTGACACAATTTACATATAAAATCTACTCATTTTAAATGTACACTTTAATGATTTTAGTAAACTTACAGATGTTCAAGCATTAGCGCTCTAAAAGTTCCCTCCCGTTCATGTGTGATCTCTACTTCTACCCCCGGGCAATTACTTAATCTGTTGTCTCTATTGATTCGTCTTTTCTAGAAACTCAAATAAATGGAATCATATGATATGTGCTCTTTTGTTATCTGGCTTTTTTTTTTTTATTGAGCATAATGTTTCTGTTTGCTACTGTATAGTGGTATTACTTTTTATCATAATGATGAGTATAATCAGAAAAGGAAAAATAAATAAATAAAAAGGAACAATTTATTTCAAAATATATTTCCATTTTGAAAATTAAAACATATAAAATAAATTTGGCTTTTAGGACCAATGATTGCCTGAAGACAAGACTTCACCAAGCCCTACCAAATCATCAAAGGTCACAAAACTGAAAACGGTGAGTAGATGTTTCATTAAATTTTACAAAGACATCATTTGAACTATTGTTTACCTGGGGAAAAAAATGGAATCACTATATTGCTGTCTCTACTTTTAGGAGAATCAGAGTAAGCCAAATATACAAATGTACAAGCATCTTAAATGTTTCTATTGAGTACTTTGTTTTCTCATTTAAAAATTCTTTTTGTGCTGCTAGTGTTGAAGTTATTTAAAACACCTTAATGCATAATTAATCACCCTGCAAGCTATCAGATTTAGTGATAGTTTCAGAAAAAACCAAATTTACATATGCAAGATGAACCTAATTAGTTGAGCTCACAAAAAAATGTAATATCCGGTTTTTAGAACCTAATGTGCTCAAGAAAGTATTTGTGCTTTTAAATTAGAACATTTCTGTATTTAATTAGTTTTCATTTGAGTATGTAATCATTTTAATTTATTTGCACCAACATAGGACATTGTGCTCCATCAGCAGATAATGTTCTTCACTAACTAGAACAGGAACTTTGTGCACAAGGGTAGAGATATTCCTGTCTGTGATGCAAAAACCAGACCTGTACACTATCAAATTGCATCCTTCGGGTTTTATGGTTACCATTCTGAGAGTCAGATTAATAATAATATAAAGTACTTTTGACTAATTACCCTGCCAATTTGTAGAAATCAGTAATATTTGATGTTTCATTTTACTTACTGCCAAGTTATAAAATGTAAGTATTTAATGAGCAAAGTAACTTACCAAAATTCAAGTAAAAGTAATGTACTAAAATTCAGACTTCAGTAACTTGAATGGTAGAAGTAGACTTAAAAATCAGTTACTTCTTTTTTGGGGATAGAAAGTAGTAATAGCCTACACTGTAGAGAATGGTGGGAATAGGCTTTTATTGAGGCTGTTTGAAAATAAACATTATATGCTTGATAAGATAATGACAGATCATTCTTATCTACTAATTAAAGCACATCAACCAATTCTTCCTTAGGACATTTCTAATAAAACTTGATATCCTGTTATTTGCACTTCTCCCCCCAAATCCTGAATAGATTCTAAAAAGAAAAACTACTATTTATTTTTGAAAAGGTTTTTTCCTAATTCTAATGTTTGATTCTTAAAGTTTGTATTTTGAAATCTGTATTGTTAGATACAAATAAATTGGAATTTATAAAAATTAATCATTTGGTAACTAGTAGTAGCTAGCAATTTGATATGACATGACAAAATGAATCAGTGAATACTCAGTGTGGAGCGATTTAACTTGGGGCATTATGGTTACCATTCTGAGAGTCAGATTAATAATAATATAAGTACGAAGCTTGCTCTAGCTAGTGTTTGCAGAAAGGCCCAGAGCTATTCTGTGTTAAGTATTCTTCATGCTATGATCTGTACCATTCTGTATTTTTTGGAAAACTTAGCACTGCTTTATGAAAGGCTAAACACTTAGTTTTGTAGACACACACAGATACATTTCTCCTCCCACAGGGAAGGTTAAGCAAATTGTCTGGATCATCACATTAGACACGCTCTAGGTTTGGAGGCAGATCCCCAAATGCGATCTTTATTTCCCCCAACTTCCCATTATTGGGTCAGTGCACCCTATAGGATAAGATTCTAATTTCTACAGTTCTCTTTTTTTGACCAAAGTTCTAAATTCTTCCACTTATATGGGGAAAAGAGTGTGTAATTTCAGAAAAGAAAAGCTCATTTTTTGTAGGTAGTGAGTACTGCAAATATAACTGCATAATTTACCTTTAGAGACAACTGTGCTTACTTTGGAGTGTATTTAATTAAGTTGAACAATGCCTATTAAGAAAAAAAACATATTTGCAAAATGTCAAATGTACAACACTCACACTCTTAAATTCTACCAAAATCATATCATTAGATACATTTTAAAAAATTTACCTTTGACTGGATGGCCAGTATCTGGGACAGTTAGATTTTTTTAATTTAGAGAACAATTTTAAGATTTAGAGAACTGTGTGTGCACACAACATACTAGCCTGAGTCACTGTACCTACAAACCCCACTCAACAGTGACTTCCAGTTACTCAGTGACAGTCACTGCGTGAGCTTTTAGCTATGCTGAGAACATCTGAAGTATTTAAAGGTAAATGTATGTTTTTGGCATAAAATGGGCTCTAAAAGCAAGCTAGCAGCTCTACCTGGTATTTAACTGAAGAAACAAATCTATTTCAATGCTAGAGAAAAAGTTACCACAAAGTACTTTTTGAGACACAACATATTAATTTTTGAAGTTTGCATAAACATGGCTATATATGCTGTATTTTTAATGAGTTTTATAAGGGAAACTTTTTAAGAAAAATTACATGAATTATAATGTAACCAAACTAGAACTGAACTCTTGTATCAAATGCAATCTACTGCGTAACTGTTGCGACAGAATAAGTTAAATACAAAACAGTTTTGCACCTTATCATCTTGGAGCTAAATAAAAGGCAACCAACAACAAAAATCTACAACACAGAGTTAAACTAAAGATTATTTTGTTGGGAATGAGAGAGGCACACACACACACACAAAAAAAAAAAAAACAAAAAAAAAACACCAAAACAATTTGATCCATTTGGGGAATTTGGTTGAAGAATTAATGGTCTTAAGTCTAACCAATAGTGGGAGAACTTAATTCCCAAAGCATCCACCCTGTTCATTAGGAAGAAAAGGATATTAATAGAAGGCACTCATTACCTTTGCCTTAGCAAGAATCATGTGTATTTATAAAATGAATTGAAAAAGGCAAGAAAAGATACTATCCAAGGATTACCATAAAAAATTGTTCTAAAACAATTGCTAAGTTTGAACACCCAGCCCCAAACTAATTACTAGTAAGTACATTCCTGCAGATCATGCATTAAGAAGAAAAACATATTTATGTGATTCCAGAGATTAGAAATCATGATCTTCTTATAAGAAATATGATTTATTATCTTAACCCTTTATATTTGAAAAGTAGCTCTAAAGCAGAATCATTAGCATGTCAATGTGGCATTTCTTTTCATTTAGTCTGGAAGTGTCCTCTTTAAAAAAGCACAACATTCTCCTCCCCATTTGGTACCTTTATAGTAACTATGACTGAGCTTTGTCCAGAATCCAGAAAAAGCCAATGATTAATATTTAAGACATAGTATTTCTTACAGATTCTCTGACAAGAGGCCTGACAATATTAACCAAACAAATTCAATACAAGGAAACAATGTTGTAATTCAAGGTAAACTGCTTTTCATTGGATCTTTTTTCTGATCCTATGTTAGATAACTTCTACTCTTAAAGCTTAGGCTAAACTGGGAATACAAATCAAAAATACACCCTAGTCAAAGAAAATAGGACACCAAGAATAGCAAAAGTAAGTTCAACAACACAGCTCAAATTAATTGGGAAAATTTTAATTACTGTAAGCATCAAATGCACTTTACATTGATAACTGCAGTACTGAAATTGTGATATTTTAAATATTTTTCTCAAAAAAGGTTAGTGATTTTCTTTTTCCTGGGAAACATGGAGCTCCAACTATGGGCATTAATGTGGCCATTCTAGGTCACCATCATGCAGTTAATGCTATTGCCCGAACAGGTGTTCACATTTCACATCTACAATAAGGTAGACTGAACTTCTTGTTATCACTGAAACTTAGTAAAACTCCCGTGAGATAATTTAAAGGACTGTCAAATTTTTGAAGTGCAAACTCATAAAACACTACATTGGGATCCCTTTTTGCTTCAAGTTGAGAATACAGTCAATTTTTCTTTCCTAATTCCTTAGAAAAACATTTCTTCAATAAGTCTTGTGTTTCCTTTACTATGACCGGGTTGTTTTTAAGAAAGAGTTATCAGTTCTGTGGTTAGTTTTCCACAGTTGATAAAAAGTCTATCAAAAAATCATAATTTGCAAGAAAAAAAGTTGTATTTCAAAGGCTGCAGGACAGGAAAGGAAAGCACTTCTCATTTGTATAAGCACAAACACTTGAAGCTAGTCACACCGCAGGTAAGTCCAATACAGCACTCAGGAGTTCTATAAAAATGAACAAAAACACATGTTTACTTTGACTGCTCCAATAGTCAAACATTAGATCTGCACGAGAGTTTCACCGCAGCAGTTGGCTGGTCCATTTTAAGAGTCTGAAGTCCTTTTTGTGTAGTTGACCCAGTGATGTCCACGTCCCAGATAAATGCATTTCAGAAAACAGAAATTAGGGCAAAAACTCCATATAACAAAGCACAAGGATATGCTACTAGAAGTTGCTGTCCTTCCATGGCTAATGCAGAAATAAAAATTTTGGAAGCAGAAAAACTACACCATCCAATAATTCCAGCAGTGAGAATGATTCCCGCCATTCCTCTGCAACAGACAAGGAAAAAGAGGGGAAGGTGGGGGGGAAGGGAACAGATGAGATTAGTTATGTAAGAATACTACAATAACCAATTCCAAAGAAAGCATTTTAAATCTGCATGTGGATATCTGCAGAAATACTTCAAGATTTTTTTTCAAATGCTAAAATGTACCTCCCAGGGTATTCAGTAACAATCACTAATTTCATGTGATACACAGCTATTTTCAACCACCTTTTAAAAGCACAGGGTTTCTCAGCCTTGGCACTGCCGACATTTGGCCTGGACGCACTTTAGCTGTGGGGGCTGTTCTGTGCACTGTCAGGATGTTCAGCATCGCCCCTCACTTGTAGCCGGAAGACACCACAAACTCCCCGCCCCCCACAGCTGTGACAAAGTGTAACACAGCCCGATCACTGGTCGTGTCTCGCACTAGCCACAAGGAGGAGCTTGAACTGCTGAGAGAACATCTGCACACTGGCCAGGAGCAGGAACTTTATGAGCAGTAATTTACACCTTTCTTTTAAACCTACCTGAAATATTATTTAAAAATTACACATATTTAAAGCTCCTTACATCTGAGGACATCATAGGCTAGTAACAGCCTCTTGCCATAAAAAGAATGTTTCATTTTCAATTAAAAAGCTGCCAAATAGAGAATAAGGGTTTATTACTCATTCACTTAGCATATGCCCAACATATTCAAGAAATCTGATATAGTCTAAAAAATATGAGAGGGTAAGTACAATTTTAACACCTTGACATTTTCCATGCAATATTTAAGTTAGTAATGAACACTGTTCCATGTAAACACGAAACTAATGAAATTCTTTACCATTGGTAAAAGCTGAGATGGAATAAATGATTTTAAAACTTATTCTCAATTCATTTGTTCATCACTGAAAAGCATGTAGCACAGCCCTCACTCTTAAGAGGCACTATCTAATGTTTGCTCTATCAGTAATTTATCTCAAACTGATGGGGAAGTAAATCCTACCACACAGAATTGGGCAATCAACCCCCAAAATAAAGATCAGTACTTACTGCAAAGAAAATATCACTGCAAAGCTAGAAAGTAGGATCATGGGAAGAAGACAGTATCCAAGGACACTTGCCACACAGCCAAATGAAACACCTGTCATACTCATTAAGTTTAATAAACAGAACATTCCCAGGCATCCGATTGCACTGATCCCATATACATAGCCAAACTGGATTTTGCCAGCCTATGGGTAAAGAAAAGATTACAGGTTAAAGGGCAAAAATAAGTTGTTTTGGCCTATTTCACCTAAATGTACATATAGAAGATATTCCAATTTGTGAGTATCAAAATCTACAGAGGTATCTATTCTTTAGGCAGACAGGTAAAATGAGCAGACCGGCTTTTACATCTTAAGAAGTTTAAAGTATTCACATCTGGTTTTTCACTTTTAATTAGCATTTCAGCTTGGCATAGAAATCAACAATAAAGGTACAAAATCAGGGTATAATCACCTAAAGCAGTAGACTTCTAAAGAGAAATACAGCCAATTTTAAGTAAATCAACTACAGAGATAAGATGGAAAGCCACTCAGATGTTTGGGTAATGGCTAATAATTAATATCTAGTATCACTTGAAAGCCCAAATCCCGCTGAACTGCCCTGAAGCAATTTATTCTCATTGGCAGATGTAGCCATGATCTTTTTAACAGCAGAATAATTTTATCATTCACTTTACATGGGCATTAGAGGTGCTAAGAGATAAGCAGGAAGCCAAAGAGGGGAGAAAACTGGTAAAACAACTGGGCAAGAGAAATACAATGGAAGATGTATTTTCTTTCATCCAAATTGCTGGTCGACTTACACAGTCCTCTGACAAAACAAATAAAAAAACTTAACAATTGTGCTATTGTAAAAGGCATCATGGGACAGTCTTAAGACAGTAAAGGTTAGCTAACCTGGAATTTAAGTACTCTGAGTCAAGCTATGGCAACAAACCTTGTATTCATGTCACATTAGCATTAAAATCATCAAAAGGCCACAGAACAGCCTTCAGAAGTTTCTGGTTTCTCAGATTTTTGACATATAAAACTCAACTACAAGAATGCCTTACGGATCATGTTAAATGGAAAAGTCCTTGGGATTTTTGTTAGACTCAGTATTTGTAAATACTTGATTGAGAGTGTAGAAGTTTGTAAAGGCTGCATTTATTGATGAGTACACTTATGCAGTAATAATAAAACCACATGCTGGTACAGTGCTCTCATATAACCTGTCTTGCTTAACCTCCAGAATGATCTTGTTAGGTGGGAAGTAGGATTCTCTATCAGAGGGAGCGGATGGACTGAATGACCTGCTCAAGTACAGAGTGGGAGAACTGAGCTGATGCCCAGCTTTCGGTCTAAAAATCCCATTTACTATTCATTACATAATTTATCTTGTCTGATTCAGAGACATAAGATAAAATAAAACAAGTATTACTTATCTTTAAAACATTTCATTTTCTGTATGTTTCCACATTCTTAAGGAAGTAGGAGATAGGGACTAAAACCTATTGTCTATTAATTTTACAACTCATTTAAAGTTAAAATAATATATACGCAAGTAACCACCAGCACCGCTGACATAAAACACCACCCAGGGGCTGTAGATTTTTTTTTTAAGTTTAAAATGCTATCATTAAAAAAAAAATGGGCTAACTTTTTTTGTTGTTCTCTGAAAAGAACTTTAAGGAGGGGCTGAAGCCACACATTATTTATTTTTTTGTCTTTTTCCCTAATAACTGAACTGTTTCTTGGAACAAGAAATGATTTCTGAATATACTATATATATTATATATTATCAGTGGAGAAGGGATGAATAGTGCTTGAACATAAATTCAAGCAACCCAACACTATTCAAAACACATCAAAGACTTGATATATAAACAGTCTCAAAAATGGCTCTTGGCAGAACACTTAAAATTTTTCTTTTAATCTCACACTGAGAGTTGAAACTAAAATCTTACCAGTAACAATGTGGCTCCAAAGGCAAGGCAGAAAACCATCGGTCCGGCCAAATCGGTCTCGTTCATGATGCTGCCATCTGCTACTTTTAATGGATGCAACACTGTTAGTGTTTTTTGCCAGATGTGGTCAAAATTGATACCTAATTCTAAAGGAAAAGAAAATAAGGAAGTCAACTAAGATTTGTGATATACCTTTAGGTTACCAGAATCTACACTGGAACAGGAGACAGAATGAAAGATACTGCATCAAAAGAGGTTCTAACAATACCAGTTATTATTCTGGTCCTCAATCCCCGTCTCCACTGTGTATTGTTTATTCCACAAATACCCAATTTCTGGTTTGGTGTTGGAAAAGGGTATGGATAGAATGAAACAGAGACTCTCAGTTCTGACTGCATAGCCGAGAACACAGGGTTAACAGTAAGGGGTTCTTCCCTGGGGCTTCGGGAATACATGCACGCCCATGAAACTGTATACAAAACTATGCCCCTATGCATATTGCATTTTTTTTAAGAGAGTGTTCATAGCTTTCATTAAACTTTCATATGGTACCCGATCTCCCCCAAAATGTTCTGCACGACTACTTTATGGGTGCTTTGGAATACTATTTGAAAACCACCATACTTTTCAGTGATGTTACTATTTTTGCCAGCTTATTTCCATGTAGAATAATCAATACCATGCTATTTCATTTCTTCCACTGGCAGAATTTAATCAATAATCTGAAGAAAAGTTGAATGCTTATATACTGACACACTTAATAAAGATCTATTAAAAATCTGGTCCCCTCTAGCTCAAACTGGTTTTATATATACTCTGTTCAAAATAGATCAAAGAATAGAAAATTACTCTCTACAACATTATTCTTTTAAAGAAAAGGACAACTTCCCAAACTAAGACGTATTGTCATTGACCAGCTGGGTAGTACAGGGTACTTTCAGTGTTGTAACCAATCCTACCTTCTAATAAAGGTGGCTCATCCTCAAAGTTGTTTCCGTAGTAGGGCTGAGGTGTTGCTGGAGTGTGTGCCTGCGTTGGCTGCAAAATCTGCCCAGTGTATGGCTGTTGTGGCTGCATCATGTCTGGAGGGACTAATCGGCCTTGCTGCGAGTAGTTGTACCCAGCATAATGTCTGTAAATCAAGTAAGTTGTATTCCTCAAGAGTTATGTCGACCCCAAAAGCTGATATCTCTGACAGCTAGAGAGAGAATTTTGGTTGTGCAATTTCTAGGGTAGCTTCTTTACTCTCTGTAGAATGCTATTGTTTGCAAGTAGTAAATCTCTTTAAGAATAACCCTCAATTTCAAACACAGAGTGGAAAATCAAGCTTCTTTTTTGTGAAAGCTTTCTGAATATAACATTTGAATAGTGCTTTTAATGTTTCAAAGAAATTGTGCACCTGCTATCTCATTTGATATGTGCTATAGTAAATCCTCCATTTCAGAGGGAGAGACCATACTATAACTATTTTAGTGATGAAAACAATAGGGAACAGAAGGATACTGAAATAATTCTTTAAAAACCTGTTTCACAATGTTCTGGAAAAAATATGACTTATCAATGGAACTAATCTAATTACATAGTAGGAAACACAAAAGTAAAATAATTATTTTAAAAGTAAGATTTTTTAAAAATGCAGCTGAGAAACCTTAGAGGTCCTTTAGTCTAAATTACCTTTTAAAATTTTATAGTTCCCTTTTGATAAATTTAAAAATCTAATGACATCCATTTATATTACTTGAGATTTTAGAATAAATATAATTTTTAAATTAATTGAACATCTTGATTAAAAGCAAATCAAAGCAACAGCAAATTTTCAACTACACATAGCCCTTTAGAGAGTCTAATGGGATTCTCAAGACTTAGGACACTAGTTCAATACATGCTTAAAAAAAATCATTTATTTTTCTGGCAAAAAATCGTATATTATTTCCATAATAATATAGAATTCACTGCACCATAATTTTAATAGCAAAAGGTAGAAAACAAAACAATGTAAGTAGCTATCAATATAAATACTGTGATAGGGCAAGATTACTCTGCACCTGCTGAAAGGAATGAGGCAGTTTAATGTGTACTGATAAGGAAGACAGTACTCAGTGGGGGAGACACCAATGTTCACAACACTATATACCAGATATACCCATCATGACTGTGCTTTTTAGAATATACCTGTGTGTGTGTATACACACACACACACATTCCATACACACACACAAATGTTTTATATATATATGATTATATAGGTAAAGGGGCCTGGAATGGGCAAACAGAAGACTTAATTTTCACATTATAAACTTTTATACGTTTGTATATTTAAAAAGGTATACATTTATTATTTATTGAAATTAATTAGTTCTAAAACAAACATGTTATATGTAACAAAGAGGTATGTATTAACTACTGAAAATTTCCAAAAACATAAATAATAATCTTTTTGAATGTTACTACATAAAGCAGTTGTAATATTTAAGTGAATTATCTTGTATTACCCTCACTATAACTCCAGGAAGTTGATTTTATCACCCTCCCTAATCATTATAAAGATGTAGAAACTGGTAATAGGTTAAAATGACTTGCCCGTAGTGATACCAAGATTCAAAACTAGTTTTTCGACATGAGTGGCCATCTCTTAATAATTACAATAAAAATCATCCCAAATCCTAACTTACAGAATCAGCTATATATTTTTTCTATATATGTATTTCCCTAGTCATTTCAGTATGCAAATACATTGATTTCTATTTACTGACACATACACACACAACCCACAGGGCTAGCTGGTTGAACCCGGACAAGAATTCACATTTCTGATTTGGTAAAGTATGCTATTGTACTGATCTTGGTTGAGGTGTGTAAGTCTACCTTTCAGTTTATGAAACAGCTAGAGAAACTCCAAATGGAGGTTTCTACAATCTGTTATATGTATATATACAATCTGTATATATATATATGTATATATACACACACACACACACACACACACACACAGAAAGAGAATATGAATGTGTATGCAGTAGAAAAATGAAAAAGAATGGTACAAAGCAGTGATTCTCAAAACTCCTTGGTCTTAGGCCCCCTTTACTCTTAAAATTTATTACTGAGAACCCCAAAGAAGTTTTTATTTATGTGGGTTATATCTATCAATACTTTACCACATCAGAAATTAAAACAGAAATATTTACTTGTTAATTCATTTAAAGTAACAATAAATGTATTACAACACACACACACACACACACACACACACAGAAAGAGAATATGAATGTGTATGCAGTAGAAAAATGAAAAAGAATGGTACAAAGCAGTGATTCTCAAAACTCCTTGGTCTTAGGCCCCCTTTACTCTTAAAATTTATTACTGAGAACCCCAAAGAAGTTTTTATTTATGTGGGTTATATCTATCAATACTTTACCACATCAGAAATTAAAACAGAAATATTTACTTGTTAATTCATTTAAAGTAACAATAAATGTATTACATGTTAACATAAATGTTTATAAAAAATTACTGAGAAAAGCTGCTCTGCATTGATTTTCAACAATCTCATTTAAGCCTGGCTTAACTGAATACAGCTAAAAATTCTTAAACCTGTGTCTGCATCCAACCTGTTGTGATACATTGTTTTAGTTGAAGTACCTGAAAAAAATCTAGTGTTGCAGACACGCAGCTGGAAAACAGAGTATTTTATAAATGCTTTCAGATTATCGTGAATATTCTTTTTGATACTATATCAAAACTCAAAGAAAAGTGGTAGTTTTTTAAACTTAAGTTGCAATGTGGAAATTGAAACAATAATATAAATCTTTAGTCTCTGTTACATTAGTTTACACTGATATGTCTTGCATGTTGAATGGATCCTTCCTTCACTCACGTGTGATCTTGTAACATGGTGCACTGGCCAGTTAGAAAATACTAGCATGAGTTATGCAGATGTCCCCAATACTGACACATTTAATATAAAAAAACATAAAATAAAAATAATTTAAAAATCTATGTTGATATCACTTCTGATACCAGAAAAATAGTTAACTGCTGGGAAACAAGTTCATGGTGATGGATACAAGCTTTCCAAAATCATCATTTTTGCCTGAAAAACTCAAATTTGATCACTGACTACACATACTGACAGTGAATAAAAGTTCACTTCCTTTATGAAAAATATCTGCCAAATACTCATCTGAATAACCATAGTTTGTCAGTTGTTCTTTTCAGGAAAAAAAAAAGGTTTCCATTAAAAAGTGGTTGATTCAGCTTGTGACTCAATTGCACAGGGGCTTGTCCTACAGACAATCACTGTACTTCAGTGAGCAGTGCTTTATGACTGTTTTCCATTTTGTCATACAAAATATTTTAAACATGTACCTACTCAAGGGTCAAGGTATAATAAAATGATCATTCTTACTGCTTCATCAAGAGCATCCTTAAATAAACTGGTTTCCCCCACCCCACAACAAGTGTGTGGCGATGAAGACTACAGTGACTACAAGACCAATTCGATGTCATTGTCTCGATGCATACTCGGGTATCACAGTTTTACCAATCATTGTTTTTGCAACATCACTGAAAATGTCAACACACCTAACACATATAATGTCTTGGTGTGAAAATAGTTTTGACCTTAAAGAATCCCTAAAAGGTCTCAAGGACCCTCTGGGTTCTGCAGTCTACACTTCAGAACCACTGATACAGACCCATAAATTTCACGTAAGGCACAAGCAAATGACAGCGTCAAATGGGGCACTATCACTCCTTCTTTGAGATGCAAGGTGTGAAAGAAACCACCATGGAATTGTGCTGTTTTCCTTTCTGACAGGACCTGGTCATAAAAGTTCCTCACTTGTTCCTGCTGGTTTTAAACTAAAACAGTATGGTGAACAGGACCATTACAGACTAAACCAACAATTTTTTGGCAAGAAAAGCAGCAGATAACTAAACTAACACCCTCCTAAGCACTCAACACCAACAATAAAGAAAAAGCGCTTCAACGTAGTGGGTCGGCTACTTAAGTTCCTGAAAATCCCCAGATTTCCATAAAAGTATTATCAGTTACATCAAGGATGAAAAAAATACTAGCTTTCAATACTTTTAAAAAATATGTAATTGGTATTACTATAAATTTCACAGACATAACTACAATACAATGTAGGATCTGTCTAATATGACATCTGTAGAACTAAACAGATTAAGATCAAAGGGCCTTTTTAACTCTTTGTTTTTCATTGTCTTATATGAATGTATGAATGATACTTGTAAAGCACCCATGCAGCATCTATAAACTCACACTCGCTAACTGGCAGCTGCAGTTATATAAGCACCTGGAATAAAACTTCTTCACTAGTACTGAAGCAGTGTTTCCTGGAACAGGATTTGGTTGGAATGGAACTGTGAGAATACTTAGCAACAGAATATCTAAACAACTGCTCTGTGGAAACTGAAATGAGATATTGGCAAGTGGAATGAAAAGGTAAGTCACACCTTTAAGTGATGCAAATGTGGGCAGGATGGGGCAGAAAGGCAGACGTAGGTAAACCTAGGAGGTTGCAGTCTAAACGGGGTAATTCCACCGAGCCTAAACAGCACATGGCTAAACAGGCCCGCATGCAGAGACAGGTTTTCCAAAGTCCTGTGGCCACGCTCCAGCCAATCTTACATTCACATGTTCTCACATACACAGAACAATCACAAAAAAATCATATTTAGGTAAACAAATGAATAGAAATTTCTCTACATGATTTTTCCAATCCTGTCCAATTAAATGATCAAAAGAGATTAATCCTCAATGGCATGTAATTGAGAATTTAACAGAAAGGAAAAAAGTGATCCATAGAGAGTATTTTTTTCACATGCTCACTCCCATTGTTCAGTGTGTTAAGTTTTAGGGAGAAAAAAGGATTCAAGGGATCTATAGGTCATAAAAGGTATAGCCTATCCTAAACAGACCATACTGTAGGGCTGGATTTGATTTGTGCTTTGTTTTTTAAATTTTTGTGCACTTTCATTCAGATTTATTAATTCAAACATGCTCCTAGTACTACACATTTCTCTCCGACTGACTGAATACACAACTTTCCCCTGCTCTCATCCTGGGATAGTCCTTATGAAGTTTTTAACCCAGAGTTGATAAATGAACATCAGATGACACATGAACTGTCTTAAGTTATATGCACATTTATGGGGGTATTTGAGTGCATGCATCTACTTCTCAGAAACAGACCCACAGTTTTCATAAGATTCTCAAAGGGGTCCTGTACCATCTAAAAAAGGTTAAGTAACCTTGGTATAGGAAACTCCTTCACTGGATAGGAGGTGATAAGATTATCTTTAAGCCTTTAGTTAATGCATTTTTGCCACAAACACCAGGGACTGTAAAAAGATCAATTATTTATTTATTTTTAACATTTCACAGCTGAAAGGTTTTGAGTCCCCCTCTTCCACCTACAACTGGCAACTTACACATACTGACCACAAGATTTTGGAAATGAGGAGTAATAAAAATGATCATCAACTGCTAGGTGAAAACCACCTGATTATTCACAATAGGGAGCTTACACTGTTAAATATACTACAATGGCATCAAATCGGTCCAGTAGTCACTGCAGTCTCCATTGCCACACACGTGTTGTGGGGTGGGGTCAACCAGTTTATTTATAGATACTCTTGAGGAAGCAGTAGGAATTACCATTTTATTATACCTTGACCCTTGATACATGTTTAAAATATTTTGTGTGACAAAGTACACTAAGCACTTCCAATTAACACCGACAAAATCTTAAAGTTGGACTGATTTAACTACTAAACAGTTCATCAAAAAGATCTTATTTTTAACTGGTCTTGTAGTAAACAGTACCTGAAACTCCCATCCATATTCTTAAATAACGTAGAAATACTGTTACTAGGAAACATGGCACACCTGCGTGTTTTGCAGAAGATACCAAACTCTAAATACGGCAATCCCTTCAAACCCAAATGACTGTCACAGATCTCTCCAGAGGAAGATTACGAAAAGTCACATTCGTGATAGAGGACATATTCATAAGTCAGTTTCAGGCAGAACTAAACATTCTGGGTACAGGCTTTCACTGCAATCTTGCCTAAACAAATTGTCAAAGTTGAAAAGTTACTTGCTATAGGGTCCTCCGCTTCCTCCATAATCATAGGACGGCTGTGTTTGATCATCGATGCTGTAACTTGTCTGGTAGAAAT